TGCTTAAATACAAACTTGGACTAGTCCCATCGCATTTCTTAGATAACTTCTTTCAAGTAAACTCTAATAGGTATATGACAATAGCAACAGGCAACTTCACACTGCCCAAAAGAACAACAAAGTTCTCACGGTTTTCTATTTCCTACCGGGGTCCGTACCTATATAACAGAATCATATCCAAAAATATAGAACTTAAAGTATTAAATAATGCTGCCAACTTGAAAAATAAATTAAAACACCTCATACTTAATACCAACAATTATATCGACATGTATTAAACTTAACATTAAAACTTATATTAAAATATTTATGTGTATCACTGATTGTATTTTGTTTAACCACTTTTGATAAAAATAAAATAGACTTTATTTAACCTTTTAAAGAGGTACTCGATGATAAGTCTTCATAGACTTCTATGAGTTTTCCTTTACAACAATATGTATATATCTGAAGTACCAAAAAAATTTCTTGTCTTTTTTTTTTCTTTTCTTATTTTTATTCTTTTATTTTTTAAAAATACTCGTAACATTTATGATAAGAAACACTATTAATTTACGCTATACTTAGATATACTTGTTAAACCAATTTTTATTATGCTATGTTATACGTGGTATTATTATCTTATATTTTTACGTGAGATTATATTATGTCATGTAGTTATAAAGTAACGATGTGTAAATTTATAAAAGTTGTAAAAAAAAAAAAAAAAAAAACATCTTTCTCTATTATTTCCTCGTCATATACCTAAACAATTTTGCACTTTTGACTCATTTTTTTTTGTTGAAGAATTAAAACAAACTAATTTAACTAATAAATTCATTGTTTCATATGATGTTGAAAGTTTGTTCACGAATATTTCAATTAAGAAAACCATCAACATAACAACTGATTTATTTTTTAATGATAAAGATTAATCAAAACGTTTTTCAAAAATTCACTTTAAAAAATTAATTCAGATTTCCACATTTGGTTCACATTTTCTATTTGATGGAAAATATTACAATCAAACAGATAGTGTTGCTATGGGTTCATAAATCAAACACACTTAGGCATTACTGTAAGCACACTAAACCATATAAACTATTTAAAAAATTTCAACATTTGTCTGTTGCATAATTACAGAATATGTCTTCAGTTTGATAAAACCGTTTACAAGTTTAAAAAAAAATAAACGTTAACATATCTCAATCTTATTAATAGCTGAGAAATTCCAACATTAAGAAAGCCAACATTTACTCCAGTCAGATGCCGTTGGGGCAGCTAACACATTTAACTCTGACATTATAATTAACAAACGTTTTGTATGAAATCAGATCAAAATGTAAATGATAACAAACCACAATATATATAAATCTTACTAATATCCCAAGGCCGCGGGTTTATAAATTTACCACCTTAGATAAAGCATATTGATGTGTGGGATACAACTAGATTCGAATTGATCTTAAACGTCAATCCTACAACTATCCCGATTGTTCATCTAGTGTCAATTAAACCCCGTCCGATCTGTACACCGTCTGGACAACTGCATCCCTGTTATCCTTGGCTGTGCTCTCCCACGCTGGCACATCCTGTCAATTCAGGTTCTCACTTTTTTACAATATTATTACAAAATAGAAATAATAATACTATATGTAGGGCTAACTCGATAGCATTTGGGACACTGAAAAGTTTTAAATTATATATCAGCTGACACTGAAAACCATGCTAGGTCTCACAGCAGTGGTGTTACCAGTGTGGCCTGGTTGTGCTAAAATGACCACACCTTAAATGTATATACATACTGATTATATAAAAAATAACTGCAATGGTATCAAAAGCAGCAAAACTTAAACAAATCTTAATTGAGTTCAACAAATACCATCAAAACCAAGTGTAAAAACCATCAAAGGAACAAAAAAGGACCTAAAAGTCAATTTTTTTTGACAAAATGCCCGCAAATTTTACAAATAAAATTGATAATAAAGAGTACGAATGTTTTGCCATAGTTTAGGATTTGAAAATGTACGAGATGATGCTTGTATCATTAATTGAAAAGTTTTTTCACTAACCTGCCGCGCTAATTATAAATATGCAAAAGTTGAAAAAACCTCATGATGTTCATAATACTGTTACTATAATATTTGGCAGAACCATGCTTCTACTATATAGGTTTAATGATGCCTGGGTTAATTCTTTTTTTCTTTTCTAAAGTATAAAGGCCTTAAAAAAAATCCTCAACCTCCCTCAAATTCATGCTATCATTATGGTTGACATCATAATGACACGTCACGGTAAAAACCTTTACTGTCTTAAGAATTGAAAAATCAGTTTTGTAATTATATAACATAAAAACAAAAAGTGAAAACTTATTAAAAAAGACAATTAAGTATGACGAATTTATTAATTATACTAATTATACTAAGTTACAAGTTACCGTTTATTTTCTAGCTAGTCAACAACAACTGTTTATTAGCTCAAACAAAATACTTGAAACAAAATTTTTTTTTTACTTACTTACAATGCGTTTGCAATGAAAGAGGTTTAACATATGGTTTAGATATAAGCATTGTGTCAATATAAGGTTAGTATGGTCTCCTTTGAGCAAATCCAAAAAATTTACAGGATCCAATCTGATGATAGTAGACAGTGATGATGTTTTTTTGATAAAGAGCTTCCTTTTTTTCTAACTTGCGCAAAAAAATGGCACTTTGATATGTTAAATTTGCCAGCTTTGAGGAATTGGATAACAAACCATTAACAGTTTTCAGTTTGTTTAGCCCACCTTTATTTCCAAATAGCAGCAAAAGCAGTTGTTTCTTGATAGCATATTTGATACGTTATTAGTTACAACACATCCTTCTTTGTTCTAATTTGGTTTTTCTCTATTATACTATTTAATTTAACTGCAACTAACTGCTTAGTATGGCTTTCTTTTTTTTGGAAGAAAGACCAAGAGAAAGTTTTATTCTCTGAAGAAGTTCTCTGTACAAGCAAGACACACTCTTTTATTTCAAATCCATATATCAATAGTCATAGCATTCAAACCAACGCGTATGGTATTAGTTGAGGTGTTAGATGGTTTTGTGATAATAGTAAGTATTTGTTATTTATGTCGCCTATAAATTCCCAAAAGTTTAAATTTTTGATGGTGGAGCGAACAACTAAATAACTGACAATAAGATTTGCAGCTAATGAACCTGTAATTATGATTTGCTTTAAACGTTGCAACCATGCAAATTATTTTTGAAGAATGCGTCAATATTTAATTTTTATCGATTGGAACAAGTAAGTTTTAGTGCCTCATATTCTGCGTGATTTACAGAATAAACGCTACTAAAAAGTCTAAAATAAAAGAAGTAAAAAGATAGTGGAGAGTGGGGCACCATGATGTGTTTTGACAAAAAAACAAATATTATTTAACATCTTTAGGCCTGCGGGAGATCAAAATGTGTGTTTTTTTGATGAAAAAGTAATTTATATTTTTAAAGTTAATTTTTAATGTCTTATTCAATGTGTCGTTTTTCAATTTTTCAATTTTTCGTTATTAACATTATTTTCTAAACAGCTTTTATTAATAAAAAAAAAGAAAAAAATAAACAAAAGGTACTGATGATAATTGTAGTAATGAAGAAGAGAAAAATAAAAGAATATTTCAATCGTAAGGATAATATCTCTAAATGTTAGAAAAAAAAGAATTTTTTTCAGAATTTTTTACAATTGATTTGTTTAAGACGGAGTAAAGGTATTTTAGGATATAATCTTTTGGACTAATTCAAATTCATGCAAAGCACCCGTTCCATTCACAGTCGCTTTGAAAATAATAAAATGTTTACCATACTTCTGGGTTTTAAAAGGTAGTACATTTAGTTTTCCATTGTGTGTATTACTAGTAGAGTAGAAATGTAATAGTCTACTTTCTGTGAAGAAGTTTGTGATAAGAGATGGTAAGTTTTTATTTAAGGAGTCAAAAACTAAAAGAAGATTAGCATACTTTACTAGCTCTGGAAATGTTTGAAAAGTTTTTTAAAGGACTTTGATGTATCTGATTTAATTCGTTGGAAGTTTATTATTTTAATGGATTGACGCTGAGACAATAGCAAGTTGTTAATGCAATAGTTTCCAACTTAAACTCAAACTTGACAACAATATCTAAGATGAGATGAGAATAATGCATAGTAAATATTCTTAAGTGTAACTTTATTGACATAATGACAAATTATCGAAAGTATACCTTGAGCAAGTATAGGGTGACTTGATACAGCATTTATGGGATGTCCTAAAACTGTAAAACAGAACTCTATTGTGTCATAAACAAATCTAAAACTCATTTTTTTTTTATTATTTACACTCAGTTTTTAAAAGATTTATGTAAAAATAAGAGAAGGAGATCCAGTTTTGATACAAAGCCATTATTTATTAGCACTTAAGATTGCCATTCAGTAAGATATATTATCGGGAGTTCTGAAATGTTATTTGGACTATTACATGCATTACTTGGGATATAATTATTAATTTGTTTGTTTTTCATATAAAAGTCTGCCTTTATCTACGTTTTATACTTTTTATTTACTTTTTTAGTAAAGCTCTTAACTCTTACCCTTTGGGTGGGGTACCATAATACAAATTTCTAATTTTTCTTTAAATAGTCTCACAAATTTATTTTATTATATTTTGGTAATTAATAAATTCAACTTTGTAGGTATAAATTTATTCTACAAATTAAAACAATCGCCTAAAATATAGTTGTTTTGAAGCGAAATTCAAAAGTGTATCATGGGGCTCCACTCTCCCCTGCATACTTTTTTTTATTTGTTTTACACGAAACTCTTGGTTCTGATCAAGAGTTCTAACCACTGCACCACGTTTGCTAAGTATGCGAAAAAAAAAGTGCACCACGTTTGCTAAGTATGCGAAAAAAAAAGTGCACCACGTTTGCTAAGTATGCGAAAAAAAAAGTGCACCACGTTTGCTAAGTATGCGGAAAAAGTACACATAACAATAATAAGCTCTAAGTAAAAAGTAGCTCTAAGCGAAAAAAGTAGGCATATTAATTGTTTTTTTAAATATTTTTCTATCACATGCTAAAATATATTGAAATTAAGTATAGAAATAGTCGGTGTTGGAAAACACTTACCAAGGTCCGTATTTACGGTTTCGGACAGCTAATATAAAAAAATAAATTGGTATTATAAGTGCGTAAAGAGTGGGAGAGCTAACGACACATAATCATCTACAGCAGTTATAATGGTATTAGTTTAATTACCTAATTTTGTAGCTATTATTGTGAAAAAGCTAAGCAATTAGTAAAACCATAAAACTTGCACAATGTTGTTTAGAAGTATAACAGTTAATACTTTGCGGTACACAAAAAGTCATAACTACATTATAATTGTTGAAAAAACGCAATGCAAATGTTGGTTAAATTACGATACGAAATTCTCAATATATATAATACTTAAAGTATAAGTTATTTGTTACTAATAAACCCAATTATCATTCGTAAGAAAGAAAGCCATTGGCGAGTGAATTTTCTGCGGTTTTTAAGGAAGTCTTTTTAGTATTTAAGGATAAAGAGCCACTGTGAAAATTACACTCACAAAGTGAAAAAAAATTCGCATATTGACCTTTTCTCTTTTTACCTTTTTACCATATATTATTTTTATTAGACTTCATCGAAAAAAAATGCAGATGATTTTTATTTGTTTATTTGCATTGACTTTTATAAGTTGTGAAGAAGATAATAAAGTTGATGATTACACTCCACCGTTTACGTGTAAGTTACAACCTTTACTTTTTAAGGATTCAAGCTCTTCTTTTTATTTGCAGAACCGCCGCTGGTTTCAATCCATATAAGTATATAACGAGTAAATATAATAAACGTACATGTGTATATTCAAGTTAAAATTTTGTAATTTAAAATTCTATTTAACACAATAATTAAAAAATATAATTTTTTAGAATTGTAATTGAAAAATTTAAAATAATTTAATTGTAACTGTAATTGTAATTTAAATAATTGTAACAATTTAATTAATTGTAATTTAATTGTGATTTTGTGATTTAAAACAATGTCATTTTACTTTATATTTCTTTAGGTGATTATGGAAAATATATGTGTGGATATAGAAAATGTTGCAAATCGTATTCAGACGAAGAAAAACCATTTAAATGTATGTTGTTTAAAGATCGTTTTAGTTTTTTTTATAGATTATACTTTTTTTTTTATAAATATAATAAAAAACAAATAAAAAAACAAAAACAAATGACAGTTACACTTGTTTAATAAGCCGTAGGAAAATATATATACTGTTAAAATTGAATATAAGTAATAAAAGTATGTTTATAAACTCTAGGTGATTATGGAAATCATGTTTGTGAATACAAAGTGTGATGCAAAAAGTAACATGTTTTGGAGAACTTTTTGTATTTACATTATCATGATGATCATGACATTATACAGTTGGATACAATTTGTTCATATGTAAATACAATAGAAATATGTGGATACAAATAATCCATATGTGAATTCAATAGAAATATGAAGATAAAAACTAACTCATTTTGTATCCATATCATATTATGAAACATTGTGAGAAAAAAAAACATTTAAATGTAAATCAAAATTACATTTTTTGAAGACCTTTTTTTCTCACTCAAGATATATTTAGCAAAAAATATTAGGAAAAAGCAAATAATTTAGGCTTTAATATAATAAGTAAATATAACGAAGATAGACGTGTATATTCAAGTTAAAGTTCTGTAATATAAAATTCTATTTAACACAATAATTTAAAAATATAATTTTTCAGAATTGTAATTGAAAAATTTAAAATAATTTAATTGAAACTCTAATTGTAATTTAAATAATTGTAACAATTTAGTTAATTGTAATTTAATTGTGATTTAAAACAATGTCATTTTACTTTATATTTCTTTAGGTGATTATGGAAAATATGTGTGTGGATATAGAAAATGTTGCAAGTCGTATTCAGACGAAGAAAAACCATTTAAATGTATGTTATTTAAAGATCTTTTTTTTTTATAGATTATACTTTTTTTTTATAAATATAATAACAAAAGATAAAAACAAAAAATGACATTTACACTTGTTTAATAAGCCGAAGGAAATATATATGCTGTAAAAGTTGAATAAAAGTTTGTTTATAAACTCTAGGGGATTATGGAAATCATGTTTGTGAATGCAAAAGGTGATGCAAAACGTAACATGTTTTGGAGAACTTTTTGTATTTACATTATCACGATGATCATGACATTATATATGTGGATACAATTTATTCATATGTGAATACAATAGAAATATGTGGATACAAATAATCCATATGTGAATTATTATGGATACTAACTAACTCATTTTGCATCCATATCATATTATGAAATATTATGAGAAAAAAACTATTTAAATATAAATCAAAATTTTTTTTTTTGAAGAACTTTTTTTTCTCACTCAAGATATATTTACAAAAAATATTTAGATAAAATATATAATTTAGGCTACGACGGAAGTTATATTTGTGGGTATAAGAAATGTTGTAAGACAGTAGTAGAAAAGCCTTTTAAATGTAAGTTACAGTTTTGCCAATAGTGCTTTTGTATTTGTTATTTTTTTAAATATATGTTGTGCCGATCCTAACATAATAGTTTTTTTTTTTTTATATACAGGTGATTACGGAAGTTACGTTTGTGGACACAAAAAATGTTGCACGACAATTGTAGAAAAACCTTTCAAATGTATGTTACAGTTTTGTCAGTAATGTTTTTATATTTTTTGTTCTAACAAATGGCTATTGATTTATTGCCAATTTTAACACAATTTTTAAACTATAAAGGTGACTACGGAAGCTATGTTTGTGGACACAAAAAATGTTGCACGACAATTGTAGAAAAACCTTTTAAATGTATGTTACGGTTTTGTCAGTAATGCTTTTGTATTTGATATTCTAATAAATGTTTTTTTTTTTGCCGTTTCTAACATAATAGTTTTTTTTAACTATACAGGTGGCGACGGATACTATATCTGTGGACACAAAAAATGCTGTAAGACTATAGTAGAAAAACCGTTTAAATGTAAGTCGAATGTGATAAATGTTATTATTTTTCTTATCCTTAATTATTTTGAATATATAATCTTTGGCCCGTAAAAACGAGGATATTAACTAAACGTTATTAACTAAACTGTTTAAATTTATAAAATGACTCCTTAAATTTTCAATTCTAGGCGACTACGGTAGCTATATTTGTGGATATAAAAAATGTTGTCCTAATAAGTACACACAATGAAACACCATAGCAGGTAAATATTTTGCGTTAAGTTTTCACTGCCATATTTTTTTATAATTTGAATTTAAAATATTTATAAAATAGTTGCAAAGTAAAAAAAAAATCTGATTTTTTAAACTTTTTTATTTATTTTCAGGATAGAAAATCAAAATGTCGTCTTCTACAACAAAACAGACTTATTTTATTCCTTTAGTTTTGTACTCTTATTCAAAATGAAAAATATTCTAATAGAATTCAGTGCTTATTGATTGCTTATTATTAACATGTCTAAAAAATTAAGATTAATTGTTTTCTTGTTATATTTTTACTCATATTTCGGTTATTGCAAAAAATATGCTCTCACGATTAGCATAGATCCTGATAATGTCAACCTAGTTGACCCTACAACGCCACTTATACGGTTTGATAGCGTACGCATCAACGTAACTCGTGATGCAATTTTTTTAATTCCTAATTTTCCGCGTCAGCGGAAAACTAAGAATTAAAAAAATTTGAATCTTCAAATTAATTTAACTTGAATCTTTAAATTAAGTGAAATTTTCTCTTTATAGCGTGACAATAAGAACACCTTTAGAATGATAACCACTACATATAATTTGATAAAAATTGTTGCAAATGTAGCCACATCACACTCTTAATAAAATTTCAGTCGGATTGATTTCCTGGTTAAGGATTTATGGCAGTTTTAGTTTATATTTAGATAATTTTTTGCTATTTACACCTCAAAACGTTACCGATTACTGTGATATTTAATACGTGTTCCACTATGTCATATCAACAACTTTCATTATAATTGTTTTATATGTACCATTTTCATTCTATAGACAAAAATATTAATTATCTATTTAAAGGAATGGTTGAATTGGCTTATGCATAGCATAAACTACTGCCAAAATGCAAAAAAAGTGCAAAATCTGAAAAAAGATCTATCAGTTTGTAAAACGAAAAAAAAAAAAAAAGGTTTCTGTTACAAAAATTTGTTACCCAAGTTCACATTCAAGGGGTTCATTTGACACTTATTAAATCTTTAATGTGATATAGGATGGTGTGAATTTTGGGTGTTACGCTTGTACCAGTTATCATTAAGTACTACCTTTGAAATTTTTAATTTTTTCAGCAAAATTGGGCATAAAGGTAACCATTATTTTGAAAATAGTGACCGAATATCACAGTAATCAGTAACGTTTTGAAGTATAAGGTAGCAGAAAACTAACAAAATTGAAACTGCCATTAATTTTTAACCAGTTAAATAATGCGGGGGAATTTTAAACGGAGTTTGGGTTAGTTGTGTGCTACCTTTGCACCAATCTTTTAATTTTTTCCACGGAAAATAATTTAAGTTGAATATAAGTGGCATTTTTTGTTCATCTAGGTTGACAATATCAGGGCCCATCTCAACTGCATTCTGCACATTGCAGAATCAGAACAAAAAGGTAACTGACAGTTTTGTGAAACGGGGAAAACAAGATTTGAAAGTTTAGAAGTTTCTTGCATAAATTGATGAAAATCTAAAGTTTTCTAATATTTGACACAAAAATAGTTATAAAATATTTGCTCTTATTATAAAATAATGTCTTCTATATCATGTAAAATTTAAGCAACCCAATTTATCAGAAGAATAAGTGACAAAGATTTGCTCTGAGTCAGCAACAAGTCGCGAAATGCATAAAGATGAGTTTCCACTCATCCGCTTTTCTACGGGAATGGGATAGGAAAGGGAGAAATAATCACTTGAGCATGCTTAGTTTTATTTTGGACATATTAAAACTTATAATACGCATGCCCACGTGATTATTTTTCCCTTTCCTTACCCGTTCCCGTAAAAAACGGATGAGTGGAAACTCACCTTTAAAACAAAAATTTAAATTAATTGAAATATGATGTCAATCAGACGAAAACAATAAGGTAATAAATGTAAATAAAATAAAAAAAGGTGTGTATTTAGAAATGATTTTTGATAAATTTTGTATTGCATTATGCACAATTCTATAGAGCTATGCAATCTTGTTGGTGTTTTCAATAACTAGCTTTCAAAGGCGAAGCAAGCTTTAAACCTGTATATGTTTATGACAGTATCATATAATAATGGATTTAATTCTGAATTATGATAGTATAAAATTCAGCATCTTATTGCTTCTCCGTTTGGGGTTAAAGTGACTGAAGTTTTGAGAATTTTTGTTGTTCCCACACTTAAATCAATTTTTTGCAAAGCGTTCTTATTTATATACGACAAGCTTTGCATCTTGTAACTGGGTTTTACCATATTTTTTTGAAAGAACACAATATTAAAGGTTTTAAACTTGTTAACAGACTTTTTATATTTCAACAAAAAAGGTACCAATTACAAAAAGCATATATATGATCATCTCAAAGAAAATTTTTTTAAAAAACAATTTTGACTTTTAATTTTTTTGAATAGACTTTTAATTTTTTTGAATAGAACTTTTTTAGTTCCGGAACAAAAATTATATTCTTAAAAATCTAGATGCATATCCTATAAAATGTGCTTAAATAATGTTTTAACAATTGTTTTGCTTTTGACTAAAGATCTTCTAGATCAATAGTTTTTTTTCGTAGTAAAAGGATATTTCCTTCTATTAAATAAAAATAAAGTTAATCGAAAATGCTTTGAAGCTAACAGTTCCTGTTTATAAACTAAGAGGATGTTTATATTGATAAAAATAATACCGCCTAACCATGATAGAAAAACTACCGAGATCTCGCATCTTATTTAAAACTCATACAATTTTATAATTTTGCGTTCATATGTAAAATTATTCACCCTGCTTACGCAAGATCTTGCTTATGAACAACCAGAATCCCGTTTAGGCGGGTGAAAATTCTTTATACAAGCTGAAAACGATCCAGGGTAGACTGGATAGTCTTTGTTACAAAATTTAAATAGTATTGATTTTAAGATTTAAGTTGTTTCACCATCTTTATTTATAAAACATTTTTCTTGAAGTTTTTTAAGGCGAAAGTTTTATTTCTTTAGTTAATTATAAATTATTTATGATTTATTTCGTAAACAACGCAAAATGATCAAACCTTTAATAAGCGTACAGTAAAAGTTAAAGGTTATCAAATAATTTATTGTAAATAGAAATGTATTTAGTTTTTTCATTTTTTTTATCTTTAAAATATTTGGTAATGGAAGTATATTCACATAAATAAACTAGCGCTGTATGACTTATTGTTAAGGCTACAAAAAGATATTTGTAATGTTACAATACTAAAATACAATATTTTTAAAATCATTATAATATTCAAAACCATTTTTTTTTTTATTGTTTTATTTTTTTTAATTTTTAATTTTATTTTATTTTGCTGTTTATATACAATTTCCTCTCACCAAAAATAAAATATAATTACAAATGTACAAATAATAAACAGACAGGGGCTCAAAGAAGATATGGATGGCAAAATACCTACCTAATCTTATCATAGATCCCCTACACATCATAACAATAATATATGGTAGTATATGGTTAATAAATCAAGTAGAAAATTTAGGAAAAAAAAAGAAATAGTAAAAAAGAAGATATAATATTTAAGAATAAAAATAGAAAAAAAAGAAGATGTATCAATATATACATTAAAATATATACATTAAAATACATATATACACACATACACATATACATATATATATATATATATATATATATATATATATATATATATATATATATATATATATATATATATATATATATATATATATATATATATATAAATATATATATTTGTAAACAAAAATAAAAATTAATCCGTAAGATTTCGAACGTAAGTTTTTGTTTGATACTGAAATGAATTTAAAGATTTTGCCATATTTGAATTGTCTTTCAGAAAAGAGTTCCATAGCTTGGGACCTCTATAAATTATACTATATTCTGTGTATTTGTTTACTTATTTAGGTAATTTATAAGTGTTACTTTGATTTATTCTTAAGAAATACTTCTCATTTAAATTTTTATTAAATTTACTAATGCATATTTCAGGAGTTAGATTATTGGTATATTTATACATAAAGTTTAGGTGTTGGAAAATATTTATTTGATATATGTTCATCATTTTCATATCCATCATTAAAGGTTTTGTGTGGTCTCCCCTTTTTTTTTTGTATATAATTCTACAAGCGTGTTTTTGTAAGGGAAGAATTTTTTTAAGTTTTGTAGGTGGACAACTTGCCCACGTAATATTTGCATAAGTAAAGTAACAAAGAATTAAGCTGAAGTATAAAAGCTTTAGACTATGTGAATTTAAGTATGAGCGAGTTCGATACATAATACTAATGGTTCTACTAATTTTTGATTGTATATATTTTATGTGTGGGAGCCATGATAAATGATCATCCACAATAACTGCTAAAAACTTTATAGTATCTTGTTTTTTAATTTGTTTATAATTTATAATAAGTTTTAGCAGTTTTAGAGGAAGGTTTTCTTCTTGTGTTTTTTTATGAAACAAGGTATATTGTGTTTTTTCAACGTTAAGAGAAAGTTTATTTGACCTGAACCAATCATTTACTTTTTCTAATTTAATGTTCATGTCAGCTTAAAGTTGATTAATATTGCAGTTAGATAAAAATAGATTTGTATCGTCTACAAGCATGATAGCATTTAGTTTTTAATGATGCATTATTAAAATCATTAATATAAATTAAAAATAAGAGCGGACTTAAAAGACTAAATCTACCATTTTCAAGTTAAAAATTCGCTTGAAATGAAGTTTCAAAAATCAATTTGCATTCGCAATTTGCATTCGCAAAAGTCACTCACCCTAAGTGAAAATTAACCTACCCCGAGTTTTAACAATAAACCGCGCTCGGGCTAAAACATCAACCCAAGCCCATCTTAAAAAAGGAAAAATAGTTTGATCTGACATTGAGTGGGAAAAAAAAAAGAACAATCAAAAAACTGTAAGTTTTATTTTTTTTTTGAATAAGAAAGACTTGATTGTCTTAATAATAAACTTAAAAATGATTTTACTGCATTTTCAAAGGCGGATCTAGAGAAAAACTTATAAGTCTTATGCTTAAGTAGTCTAAAGATAGCTGGAAACAAAGAAATTTTTGTGACTTGAGTTTGTTTTTTGCGAAAATGTTATTTCTAATAAAGTAGTAGAAGAAGAACGCGAGGTTCTCACTGAGTACAAAAAAAAACTTTAATAAACTACTTTGAATCATCTCGAATTTTTTAAACTCAGTAATTGGTTGGTTAGCAGAAAACAA